TTATATTACACTAAAGAAACTTACTTTAGAGCTTATTATATCTAAATAGTATATATAAAAGTATTATAAAGTAGAGTAATTTAAATATTAAATAATAAAGTTAGTTAAATACTAAATATATAATATTAGACTATAATTAGGTATATTATTTTAAAAAGACTAGAGATAAATTACTACTAAGCTATAATAGTAATTCTAAGGTATTTATAGCTAATACTAAGTTAGCCTAGGCTCTTTAGAGCTAGAACCTAATAGCTTTTCTTTTCTTTTTTTTTTATTTATTCTTTTTTTTCTTATTAACTAATACTTTTTTATTAAATTTAGTTTTTAGCTTAAACTTTTTATAATATTTTGTATAAAAACTAATACTAAAAGTATCTAAATTTTTTATATTATAAGTAAGAACTTAAAACGCTAGTAAACTTTTATAGTAAAGTTTATATTAGTTAGTAATAACTTTAGTATAAATAAAATACTTAAGTACTTTTTAAGTAATAAATTATTTTTATAGTAGCTTAAAGATACTTATAAAAAGCTTCTAAAACTATATACTTTTATAAAAGTAGTTATTAATAAATTTAAAAAATAAAGTAAAAAAATAACTAAAAATTATATTACTATTAATATAATATTAGATTTAAGCTACTATTTTTGTCTTTAATAAGTCTTAGATTTCTAATTTACTATAAGCTATAAAATAAGAGTAAAAATAGAGATAAAGATAGAGAATAGAGAGTATATATATAGAAGTATAATTTTACTTACTAAATATTTTAGTATTTTATTACTTTATAATTTATAGTTCTATTAGTTATAAGCTATTAAGAATATATAATTATATTATAATTTTTTTTACTATAAATAGATATTAGTATTTATAAAATAGTTATCTTACTACTTTAAATTTTAAAAGCTTTAACTACGCTAGAGATAGTAGCACTAAGAACTTAAGTCTTAGTTTACCTAACGCTTATACTTCTAAATATAAAATTTTAACTTTTTTAGAAATACGTTTTTTTATATACTAGTAATAAATCTTACTTTTTTTAAACTAGTTTATACTATAGAATTAGTTTACTAATAAACTATTAATATAATAAAAAAGTTCTATATTTATTTTTATATATATATAGTTCTTAAAAAGTATAAGCTTAGTACTTTACTATAAACTAGCTAGCTTTAAATACTAAAAAATTATTAAAGTATAGTAAAGAATTTATATAAAAAAAATTAAGTATTTATAGCTAATATAAAGAAAGAGTCTAGTATATAGCTTATAATTCTAGTTCTTAAAGTTATAAAAAGTTTTTTATAAAGTAGTAAAATAAGTTAAAAAATTTAGTTATAAGTATTAAGTAAATATTAGTTATATTTAGTTTAAGTACTTTAATTAGTAATAAAAAACAAATATTATTATCTTAAGAGCGTAGTAATAAAGTAGACAAATCTAAGCAGACGCATTCACGACTTCTAAAGCTTACATTACATCCCGAAACGAGAAAGCGAGCAAATGATAAAATCCGGGAGAGACTAGTCTCGCTATATACTGTTGGGATATCACACACAAAATGAACTAAATCGATGGCCGGCCTACTCCGTTTCCACTACTTCTGTGACCTCCATCTCTTATCTTTTGTGACACTTTGAGGATGACGATGGTGTTGCTAATCATTCTCTCTGTATTTGAGTCGTATCAGAGTGAAGATGGCAAACCCAACGAAATGCAATTCTCTTACCTTATGCTATGGAATGCTCTCCCAACACCACGCCAACCGTCGTTCTCGTGGCACATTCACTTTCGCAACACCGTGCTATTGTTGGCTTACAGCGCAATAAAGAAGCATCAAGAGTTTGGATAAGCGCTAGGTTATTGTGCAGCCGTGAACTCAATAGCAACAGCGTGGCATTGTGCTGGCGCACCTTCCGCCTTCCGACTTGGTATGACCAGTCCTTTCCGGATTACGCCAACCTTCCCACAATGTCGCATCACTGTATTATGGTCAATACAATTAACCTATAGAACAAAGTCATTTTCTCTCTCACACACTTCTCATCATTACCACAAACCTTTGCCGAACAACATACACAGGTACAAATATGCGCACGAAACTATCGTTTACTACGACCCTGGCGGCTCTGGCCATCCTAGGAGATGCGCACGGAGACCATGCTAATGACAGCAGGCAGTACACGCTAACAGACGATCTTAGCTACAAGAACTTCTTCTCCGCCTTTGACTTCTTCAACGAAACCGACCCAACGAAAGGCTTTGTCAATTATCAGAATCAGGAAGATGCGACCAAGCAGGGCCTAATAGGCTACCTTGAGGACACAAGGTCCGTGTTCATGGGTGTAGACTATACCACTAAAGACCCTACTGGCCGCGCTTCTGTTCGCCTTGAGAGCAAGAAAAGCTGGAATCATGGACTACTCATCGCAGACATTCGTCATATGCCTTCGTCGGAATGCGGCACTTGGCCAGCCTTTTGGCTTTTATCGTCTTCAGTGCAATGGCCGAATGGCGGGGAAGTCGATATCCTCGAGGGTGTCAACGACTACGAAAGCAACTCTATTACTTTACACACAACCAAAGGCTGTGTTGTTGATAACTCGACTGCGGCTGGAGGAGGATTTGGTGCTGTAGGTGGTGATAACAATGCGCCATTTACTGGTCTTATGAGTACCGACGACTGCGACGTCGCCGCACCTGGCCAAGAGAAGAACGTCGGATGCTCTATCCACGCTCCTGACACCATGCCTGGGATCCAAAGTGGCGGCAGTAGCGGTAGTTCCGACAATACTGATGCCGCGCCTCTCCCATCTTATGGTACCGAATTCAACAAAGCGCAGGGTGGTGTCTATGCCATTGAATGGGCCGCCACCAGCATCTCAGTTTGGTTCTTCCCCCGCGACTCCCCGGGCTTCACGGATAATTTCTCTTCGAACACCACGACACCCGACCCATCAACCTGGGGCACACCTATAGCGCACTTCGGCGGTGCTGGCTGCGACTTTTCTGAGCGCTTCAAAGATCTTCAGATCATCTTTAACACTGCCTTCTGCGGCGAATGGGCAGGCGCCGAGTGGGATAAGTCTTGTGCCAAAAAGACCGGTGTTGTTACTTGCAATGAGTATGTACGCGATAATCCCCAGGCCTTCGTGGAGGCGTATTGGGAAGTCGCGGGATTGAAGTGGTTCCAAAAGGGTGCTGCGTAGAGGCGGAATACCGTTGCAGTTCTGCCGAAACGCGAGGAAGTTGCCCATTTCCCCGTGAAAAATGCCAAGACAAAGGGTAGATGGTATGCTTGGTGACTATCACATCCGTATTTGTCGTGTAAGCTGCGTCTGGGCTACGGAACTGTTTCGCTTTCCAATGTCTTCAAGCTTAGCTTCGCGGATGTCAAATTCGATGCTTCCTGGTTCAATCGCGTCTATTCAAGCCCAAGCTGCCCTCCCGAGGCCGATATGAGAATATGCAGACTATCTCTTGTTCGATGTGGAATTGTGGAATCGTTCACTTTGAAGTGATTTTCTGGTTATGATTGTGGCTACGATGTTCGAAGGTACCTATGTCATTTGGTCGGTTGCCCACTTCCAAGCCGAAGATGTCTGGAGCCGATTTCCTCAGTAGATATGTGCGCACAATGATCAGAGTTTCGTAGAGCAGCCAAAGGAAGGAAAAGAGGCTGAGAATTTACGTTCAGGATGTGCGCGGGCGCGTCGCGGACGCGTCAGACAGTTAGCCAGGTTGGGTTAGCGCTTGAAACGCCTCCTGCAACATTCCATCCAAGCTCCCGACCCTTTTAGCCCCTGGGAAACGGTTTGAGCGCAACACAGCGACATCCGCACTACCCTCGATCATAAGTGTAGTGTACGACCCTCGTTTAAAACCACGTTTTCGATAAGCCCGATCTATATCCATTCAGTGAGATGGCACCTCCGGAAAAGCGCCCTATGATCCCGAAGAGTGCGCACACTTTAAGCAAGCTACCCGAGTACGAGGCCCATTAACCTTGAGCTCATGGAATTCTGACAAATCAACCGTAGCTTGAGTAGCAACATCATCAAGGTCAGGCTCGGCATCAAGAATTTCAACTACGATGAGCCAGGCGAGCTGGGGCCGACCGAGGCAAAGGTCGATCCGCGACAGAAAAGAATCGAGGACTACTTCAATCCTACCCCCAAACTTGATAAATTGAACAGCATGCCGGGCCAAATCAACATTCAAAGCGGCACAGGGAACCGGAACAATGAGCGTGTGTCATTTGTACATACGAGTGTTTTATGCCAAACGTCCGCTTTCTTCCAGACTGCTACGAAGCAGATATGGCGGGGCCAAACTCGAAAGCCTATCGATCTTACCACAGAAAACTATGGTATCTTCCAACAGTACCTACAGTGGCTATACAGTGGCAGGATCGCAATACATTGGTGCCCAGAGCCTGACAAAAATATTCCAAACAGTTCGTACAAGGCGACCCACGACTTGTTGGAACAGTATCTCTTTGGAGGCAGGATGCTGGATCCAACCTTCCAGAACGCTGTCATCAGAGCTTTTATGGACTGCATAAGTAACGCGCATACTTTTCCGACTTGGAACAAGATTAGGGATGTGTACAAAGGCACTATGGAGAACTCTCCGATCCGGAAGCTCTTCTTGGATATTTTGGCATCCCTAGCAGACAAGACTTGGAGCTTTGATAATATCGTAGAGGAGGCTGGTGAAGAGTTTACCAATGATCTAGTAGCTACGTTGGCGGTGAAACGACAAAAGCCTGGATCGAGCTGCAAATGCAAACACATGAATCAATGGGCTTGCCCACAAACCCAGACGAGATACTTCTGCGAGATTCCCGATGATAAGAAAAGAGGGGGAGCTCCTGCATAAACTATGTAAACGTTATCGAACAAAGACAAGGAAGGACTACTACACGTCAGCCTCTTACGTACCATTGTTTACGTTTTGATTCCGCATAACTTGTTGCAGCAAAAGGATAAGAATGCTCAAGTGTACTCGATGTAAGCTAATCTCAATACGCTGGCGTTGCGCCAAGAATATCCCAGTCTTGATGGGGTCGAAATTGCCCGCCCTGGGAGCAATCACAACACCCGTGGACGGTTCCTTCACTGCGGACAAACGCGCAGCGCTAACCAAAAACCGGACTAGCGACGATGCGCTCTCACCTCAAACTGTGGTCCGCGGTGCAATCAAACATCCTTTCGCACTTCTCACGCCGTCAATCGACTTCCAAAGACTTGATCGATCCACAATGGCGCCCAAAACCGATCGACCAGCGAAGCGAAGAAAGCTTCTCCCTCGGGGTGTCGCTGATTCTCGCGATTTACTTGAGTAGGTTCTACATGCACATGATTCTTGGAACGATCCTAACACGGCATAGTGTAAGCAGCGAAATACTCATGGTCAAGGTCGGGAGTGGCGACGATCCAGTCCAACCGAGTGCAGCATGCGAAAATTGCGGCAAGAAGGAAGGCGAGCAGCAACGTGCGGGAGATCTTGCTGATAATATGAACCAAGAAGATGGACAAGGTGCAGGAGAACTCGAGAAGCAAAACGTAGTTCTTGTCCAGGGTGACGACAAGGGTGCTGGCACAGACTCCGACAAGGACGGCGCAATTGACAAAGAGAGCGACGAGAACAGCAACGAAAGTGACGACAGCGATGACGACAGCGATATCGACTCAGGAATCTCCGACCAACGCATCTTCCATGTCCACAAAAGCGTTCTCTGCAAGACATCCGCCTTCTTCCAAAATGCAACGAAGCCAGAATGGACTGGTCCAACACCGCGACCTACAGATCTTTCTGACGAGCTTCCAGAAATCTTCCATTTGTATGTGCAATGGTTGTACAGTGGGAAGATCGCCGTCGAGATCACGCCCTCCAGTGACTCGGATACGGACGTTCGCAAACACGAGAACGTGGATTATCATTCACTGATTCAGTCGTACATACTTGGAGAGAAGCTCATGGATACCACATTTCAGAACGCAGTACTGCAATGTTTGATCGAGTGCGTGGAGCAAGCAGACTGTTTTCCCGGTGACCGGACTATCAGGACGGCCTATAAGCGCACGATAAAGCACTCGCCTCTTCGTAAATTGCTGGTCGACTTCTGGGTGTGGCACGGCGATTCTGAGGGGGCGGCTGATGACATGAATGCGAGCCTGGGGACCGACTTCACGAACGACTTACTTAAGGCCATGCTTGAAGCGCGTCCTAGTCCGGACACGAATAAAGCGAAGGTCCAGCCTCCTTGGCTGACACATCCGGAGATCTACAGCATAAAGGATAACAAGAAGACCGCCAAAGACACCAGCAACAGCTGAGATGTCGCGAACGAGTAGCGTGGAGTGTGTCTGCAAATGTTGCTGAGATTTGTGAGAGGAAGTGTTGTACGAGGCCCTTCACGATACACTGAGATGGTAGATTACAACACAGGAAAGGAGGAATCTTGTAGAGTCCTGCAACTCGAAGCTTTTACTGGATACCTGCGTGCAAGTCGCAGCTAGGCCAAGAGCTTGGTAATGACAACCAAAGACGAGTATTAACAATGAAGGCTAGCATGTGCCCGTAAATTCAGTACTATGTTCCCCTAAATCGTGTATCTGAATCGTGGGCTGTCATCGCCCATCTCTGCAATATCCTCATCGCTCATCCCTTCAACCAGATGCTCTTCCTCACCCTTCTCACGTCTCGAGTTGATGCGCCCAAGATGGAACCACATGACAGCGTAGCATATACAAGCAAAAGCCACCATAGCCATAGTGATACCATGACCCTTGACGAAGCGGGGGCGATCAGCCGTGGGATAGATCTAGCGATCCGTTAGCAGCGTTTCTACATGGAGCCAAGTAATTACGAATAGACTTACAAAAGCACTCATAATACCCGCACAGTTACCGATGCTTAACTGCAGCCCTGTCGCAGTGGTCCTCTTTCCATATCGTGGCAGGTTTGTAGGTAGCCAAGCTAATGGCAGACCAACACATACATACAAGCCCATTGCGACAAGGAAGCAGCCAGCGTAATGAACGCCTGAACTGGCATCGCTGATCAACATGGCGTATCCGACGATGCTCACCACGCCGAGCAATATGCTGTAAAATCCACGCTTCTGCTGTTTATCGGAGAAACGCGCAACAACCAGGTAGGTAATGGCACCCAGTGCATAGCACGGAATCGTAAGGACCTGCACCATCGCGCTGCTGGCGGTAGTGTTGATTGACCTGATGATCGTCGGCAGGAAGGTAGAGTAGCCGTAAAGCATGGTATCGCTTCCGAATTGCGCAAAGCAGAATACCCAGACTTTCCAGTCCTTGACGCACTTCCTTACATCCTCCCAGTGGAACTCCGCTGCTTTCTTGGTGTAACCTGTCTGACGCTTGAGGCGAGCGGCTGCGAAAGCCTTCTCTTCAGCGGTAAAGAAGTAGGCAGTTTCCGGGGTGTCTGGCAGGATGAACCAGGTCGCGATACCCAGGATGAAGGTAGGAATACCTTCGATGATCATGATCCAGCGCCATCCGCGCAGGCCAGCCGTACCATCCATATGTCCAATAGCGTACGCAAGTAGTCCGCCGCAGGCTCCAGCTAGGGCAGCAGAGACGAAGAGGTATCCGATGCGTAGAGCAAGTTCGCGCTTGGTGTAGAAGAATGTCAAGTAAATGGCCATTCCGGGGAACAACCCTCCTTCCACGGCGCCAAGAAGAAGACGACATGCAATTAAACCGCCGTAGCTCTGCACGATACCGGTCAAGGTCGCGATGATACCCCATGCGACAGTGATAAAGGCTATCCATCGCGAGGGCGTAAGTTTCTTCAGCACCAGATTCGATGGTACCTCGGACAGGATATACGTGACGAACAGAATGGAGACGGCTGTCTGGAATTGAGAATCTCCCATATTTAGATCTTCTTGTAGACCATATAGACGGGCGTTACCGATGTTGACTCTGCAATCGCGTAAGCAAATTTCTCGTACAAGCTGCTGCAGACTCCCAATCGCATCCAGTCTGGATAGACGACGCACTAATCAGAAAGATCCAAACTCACCTGTCCAGAAAACTGAGCAAGTACAGCAGCATAACCACCGGAATGACGAAAAGATCCAGCTTGCGCACGATTTTCGCTTCCAAAACGGGATCGATGCCCTCTAGCTGCCTGCCAATCTCATCGCTCTCTTTCGCAGCATCAGGCACAGCCGGGTCGTACTGTTTCTCGATGTCGCTCATGGTGTCGTCAGGCGTCCTCGCCTAATAGTGGCTCGGAGAATTAAGCAACGATGATGATCGATGACTCCACGTCAGGAAAAACGGTTATCGCGTCAAAAACGCAAGATGGCGGCAATTGCGTGAGGAAGGGATGGTGAAGAAAAAGGCAGCGAGCGTCGCGTTCTTAATGCATCCGGCCGAAATTCTGATCCGTCATCACGTAGAATCTCCACGACTTTGCCACGGAAGGGAAATGCTCATGCTTTAAATTCGTCGACGGCCTACGGCTTCGACATCGGACGAGTCTGCAAGGGGGCCCACTCTGAACATGTCGCCCGCGGGCAGATCCATGGCGGGGGGCTGGAGCCAATGGAGCACGGAGCTAACGGTTTGTGGTATGACGTTGACGGCTACCCTGCCGGTAACACAGATACGACTGCTGGGCAACTGATAACGAACCACACGCGTCGCTGTGGCCTATTGCCTGCCAATGTTCCAAGGTTGGGGGAGATATCAGACAAAGGATGGGGGTGCTCGCGTGCCTTTTTGAGGAAAGTGGTGGGGACAGGCATCCGGTGTGGTTTGACATGTTCGTCGCGTTAGTCCGCTGTCATGCATCGCTTAGGCAATGCGATTAGTCCTGTCTGACCAAACAATTGCTCCAACAGGACTTGGAGACGCGATTGCATCACATCACACTTTGTTGTGCAGATCAGCGCTGATCCTGAACGCGTTCCACAACACGAGCTAATCACTAATTGATACCATTTGAGTGGGGATTGCCATTCTCAAGCAGACAGACGCCCTTATACCAACTCAGACGATGTCAGCGACGGATAACTAAAGGGCGTCGTATCCCAATCGATAGGCAGTACGATGCCAGAGTATATGTCGATCTGCGCTGAGGGATCAACAGGCCACCCCAAGTCGTCGCGCGGAAAGTCGATCTCAGCCACTGCAGGTTCTATATTCTCTGTCTTTCGCGCTTAAGCCTAAGAGGTCTTTTTGCGTACTTTAGTTATATATATTAAAAGAAAAGATATTTAGTAATAGTAGTTTACTAAGCTATTTATCTAAAGTAGTTATCTTTATATATACTTATAGTAGCTAAGAATAACTTTATAATAAATATATAATAAGTTATTATAATAAGTTAGTATAATAAATTTTATAATAGCTTATACTAAGAAGAGATAGTAAGCGTAATTATAGTAGCTATAAATAGAATAGAAAGTATAATTATAGTAAGTATAAGTTAAGTAGCTAGAACGTAATAAGTATTTTAAATTAATTTAAGTTATATTTTAAAGCGTAGTAGCTAAAAAGCTAAAGTAGAAGAAAAAGCTTAAAGAGTAAGAGCTAAGAGAGTAGTCTAGTTATAAGAAAGTAGTAGTAAAGAAGTATATATTATTTATAAGAACTTTAAAGTAAAAAAAGTATTCTTAAATATTTATAAAAACTCTAAATATTTAAAAGTATTAAATAAGCTATAAGTATAATAAACTATAAGCGTAATAAGATAATACCTTCTTTTATTCTTAGTCTAGTTATAACTAGTAAGTATTTTTATAGTATATATATATATATATATATATATATAGCTAATAATAAGTAGTATTAAAAGTATATCTAAATAGAATTATAAATAAGGTAAACTTTAAGTCTTTTAATAAAAAGATAGTAGTATATAAAAAAGCTACTAGAGTTAGTAAGAAGAATAAAACTATAACTAGCGTGTTAAAGCTAGAGTTAAAAGTAGTACTTAAGCTATTTAAGTAGCTCTTTAAGAATATAAAGAGATAAGTAGATATATAGCGTATATATATATATATATAGCTACGTAGCGTAGGCTAATAAAAAATAGGTAATATAAATAATATAGAGAATACCTTTATAGTAGAATAAAAGAAACTACTAAAATTATTATCTAAAAAAGTAAATAAAGATAGTAAGAAGCTAAAGAGCGCTAAAGCTAAGTTTATAAAAGAGCTAGAAGTATAGAATAGTCTAGAAATATACTTTTATATTACTTAAGTAATACTTATAAAGCGCGCGTAATATATTAGTTAAGTATTATATTAGTATAAGTATTTATATATAAGTAGTAGAGTAATTATATATAATAGTAAGAGTAATAGTATTATAATATTACTAGTAATAGTATTTTTATAAAAGTAGCTAAATATAAAGCTATATTTAGTATATTAGTATATACGTATAATATAATATAATACGTATAGTATAGAGTAATTAGGTATTATATAGTACGTAAGATAGCGCGTATAGATAAATATATAGATATAGATAAGCGTATAGATATAAATAGATATATAGATATAAGTAGACGTATAGATATAAGTAAATATATAGGTATAAGTATATTATAAAGGTACTAGCTAGGTAGCTACTTAAGATAGTAGGCGCCTAAAATACTATATAGTTTTAGTAGGCTTAAGAGCTATATTAAGTAAGCGTACGTAGATAGGTTATTCTAACTTAGACTAGAGAGTCTAGGTTAAGAGCTCTAGCTTATACTATAAAACTAAAGTTAAAGCTTAACTAGTAAGTTTATAAAATATATATTTACTACTTTTTCTTAAACTTTCTATTATAATAATAAATAACTAGATTATTATAATAATAAATATCTAGCTTATTATTTATTAATCTTTTAGCTTCTTTAATAATTTTATAGTATTATTCTTATATTTATATTTTAATTTTTTACTATAGTATAAAATTTTCTACTACTTACTTACTTTTTTTAAAGTAATACTTAAAAAATTAAAAATAAAAAAAGTATAGCTACTTTATTAAGATATAAAAGTAGCTAAAATAATTTTATATATATTTAAGTAGCTTAATAATAGTATATAATTAGTTTATACTTTAAAGTAGAGTTTTTAACTTTATAGTACTAAGTTATTTTTACTTTTATATATAAAAAGTAGCTATAATTAAAGTACTACTTTTTTAACTTACTACTAAGTAGTAGCTAATAAATTTTAAAAAAAAGTTTTTAAAAAAAGTATAGTAGTAAAAAGTAAGCTTAGTAAATATACTACTTACTAAGTTTAGTATATAACTAGTTTAAAATAGTTAAAGTAGTTAAAGCTAGTATTATAAGTTAGTTTTAGACTTTTATAATATTTACTATTTATATAGAAGAGTAGTATTATAAAAAAAAAAAATCTACTTCTAGACTAGCGTCTTAGTAAATAAAACTAGGTTTACATTAATACGCAGGTTCTATATCCACGCTCACGGTATGCTGGACGCAGGTACCGGCAAGATTTGACCGTGCGATCGCACGAACCTCCTTCGCCATTTTCATTCCAAGTGGCCATATAGTTCCCATTGTGTTCAGAAAGCCGATGCTGAGACGCACACGATCCCGCGCTATCGACAGCGCATGCCCATCCAATAGATAGGTACATACAGACACTTGTGCTGCCGCGAGTTGCGCGGTTAGGCACATAATAAAAACATTGTGCTTTTCGAGAGCGCATGGTATTGCGAGGAGTTTGGTATGCATTTCGGTCGCCTTGAGCACACGTGCGGTATGTGTGTTTCGCCCAGTTTTTGGTGTCAGCGTAAAGGGAGAAGGAGGCAGAAAAGACTGCGTGGTCATCTCTTCAGGAAGGTGAGGTAGTGACGAGAAGGGCCTATGCAGTGTTGAGATGACTCTGTCTTTGTTAGCGTAACAGTAGCAGTGCATGAAGGAACGAATTACATTGCAGCACACATATGTGCCATGTACCTGTTGTACGTATCGTTAGCGATCATGTTTTCGTCCGGCTGACGGTGTGGCATACATCACCTCATCTACTTGACCATCTGGTCGAAGCGGGTCTTTCTTACAAGCCGGCAGCATCGCCGACCAAATCGCCAATTTCATGTCGCAGTTCTCGGTCATCGTTTCGCTAAATATAGCAGTGTCGATAAAAGACTTCATGGCTGGAACTGTTAGGCATCATACGAAGTAGATAACGGCTTTCATTGGGTACGTCCACCTGTGGTCTGTACTTACTGCCAGCGATGACCATTCCGATGTCGTAAAGATATACGATTGAGGAATAAACAATCTCAATTTCTGCGAACTCACGGGTCTGGTACTCCGCCCACGTCATCACAGGCGGGATGTTCTGCTCATGTCAGCTCTCACCTCTATCTGGGCAGCATCTCGACATACCCCTGACTCAAAGTATTCATCATCGCATGGCAAATCAACGTTGTTCGATGTGAGAAGTAGTGTGTAGAAGGGCGTGTTGGTGACAAGGGCGAAGTTTTGATCCACAATGTAGAGTACGTAAAACGTTCGCCTCCAACACTCTTCCAGTACACCGCTACCTTCCCCATACGCTCGAGCAAAGTCTCTTTCGTTCATACGCAATTCCAATGCAATTGTGATAGCTTTATCCAGATGCTTACGAGCCTCGGCTCTGGAAATGCTGTGGAACTCAGCGAGAGCAAATAGCAGCAGCGCTTGAACATTGAATGGTGTATGCGCCAGGTCGGGCGACGTGACAGCTTCTAATGCTGTCATGTGGTAGGGTTTCGATGGAGTCCAAGGGGCGTAGATTGATCCGATCCATTCCAAGACGGATATTAGTGTGGTCATTCCATGGTTCCCGTGCAGGCGCCTGGCTTGCAGATAGTGGAGAGGCAGTACAACTGGCCATGAAGACCAGAAATATTCGAAGTACAAATCGATGAGTCGTTCATTGTCGACTTGGAAAATCATTCGACTTTGCTGGGTAACGTTCCGTTCACGAAAAGGTATGGAAGAACCTGATGAACCGCTCTCAAAGGATCCCAGGCTAGACTGGTCGGATGGGGATGGCGCTGGTAACTGAACTTTTCCGCTGGTCAAGTTTTTGGGTTCTTGTTGCAGTCGTAGACGTCGCTCCGCGAGTGCAGCTTTGCTGAGACCTCCTCTTCTAGATTTTTGATAGATGCATTCTTTCCCGTCGCGCCTGCATCGGTTGCAGGCGGGTTGTGTGGAGTCACACTTTACGTGTCTATTGCGGCACTGGATACAGGCCAGCACTACTCGTTCAATTCGTTTCGGATCCGACGATAGCTCCATGGTTGAAGGAAAACAAGAGGAAGAGCGTAGGTTGCGATGGGATCACGGCCGTAATTGGGGACACCGCCAAAGGAGATCTTGCGCGCCAACCATGGAAGGTCAAAGTCAAGATTATCCAAAAATAATCATACATTCCGGTGAGTGGAAGACGAGCACGACGCGTAGGGCTGATCTGACTGGTTACACAGCGTGTCAAGTTGGGCGCCTGCCGAGTCGGCAAGAGTCGGATGAGCATCAGCATTGGGGGCCGCTCCCTCTTCATTAAGATGTTACGTTGAAAACCACAAATTCTCAACACGGTTTAGGCATGAACAGAAAGCACTCGGGTGCGACACATTCAAGAGTTCAACTGACACACATAGTGTCACTATTAATCCCGTACATTCGCAAGCCTTTCTACCCTACTACAATAAACTAGAAATAATCGCACTATAAACCCACAATCAGCCTTCGTGATACGACAGGCCAACGTAGCAACATCCAAGTCTCTGGTCTCAATGCACAAAACATGTAATCATATGCGTTCCAGACCTGACGGCCAATAAACCGTACCAGCTGGGGTTGTCGCTTTTCGGTCGTATATCTATAATCGAAGGCGATGAAGCAGAATGAAGAAGCCGCGAGCTTAACGCAGCTTGCCGTGATCTTGAGCCTCTTTGACCTGTTCAAAGACCTGCAATACAATGTTAGTTATCGGGTTCCGTACATTAGAAGAATGGCGTTGCATACCTTGAGCATCTTCCTACGTGCACCAAGAGCATTGACTCCACGCTTCTCCAAGCCTTCGTCATCGAGCTCGATAAGCTCCTGCCACTTGAGATCCTTCAGGTTGTCTGTGTACTTGTGCAGACGGAGACTCCGAAGCCAGTTGGGAATGTCCGAAAGCAGACCAGGGTCGGTAGGATCCTCCGGGGGCTTGGAGCTGCCGCGACGGCCTCGGGGAGATCGACCGCGATCAATGTTGTCGCCGAGGAAGCCATGACCTTCATTACTGCCGCCGGCAAGACCAAACTGAGCAAGGTTGAGAGCGCCCATACCGTTGTTCATCATGCCGCCGCCGTAGTCAGCAGCCAAGAACCCGTTAGCTTGAGGCGATGTGAAGTTGCCCATGGCACCCATGCCCTGACCCTGCATTGCGAAGCCGGGGGAGCTGGGGCGAGATCGGCGGCCTTGCATAGCAGCCAATTGCTGGGCCTGAAGAGCAGCCGCTTGCTGTGGTGTCAATACTTGGCCAAGCTCGTTTGTCATCAGGATGTTTCCGTTGCCCATCTGAGGCATGCCGGGGGACATGGGTCCGTTGTCAGAAGATCGGGCGCGGCGGAATTTGCGTACATCGTCCAGCTGGATGCGGTTGTTGACTGTAGACAACGCGGCCAGTTTCATAGCAGTAGCGTTCGCGACCATATCGGCCTGGTTGTTCGACTGTTGGAAATTGGCGACCATGGGAGTGCTCAACTGGGAAGCCCAGCTTCCACCTGGGTTGTAAGAAGGCGAAAGGAGCGGCATGTTGGAGGAGTTGGCCTCGAGAGCGTTCAAAGTGGTGGTCTGGACATTGTTGCTATCGTTCTGGAGAGGAAGACGTGGAGATCGAAGACCGGCGGATGGAGGTGGCTGAGTGAATTGGCCCATCGGTGGCTGCTGGTGCTGCTGCTGGCCCGAAGACTTGGGACGGTTCGCGCCCTCGTTCCAGGGTGATGCTGGCGGAGCATTGTTCTCTCTCTTGCTGTCCTCAGGGGCGGAGATGGTGGGAGCCGCTAGAGAAGTACGATCTCCAACGGTGCTATTGCGGTTGGACGCCGGCGCAACACCGACAACATCGGTGAACTCAGCCTTCTGCTTGGCGATGGCAGCCGCGGCGTCCGGGAACATGCGGTTGATCTGGGATGTCTCCAAGCCCGAGTTGCGTTTTCCAGCACCCGGGGATGGCGGCGGACGGCCGAGGCCCATGGAATGACGGTTTTCGCCAGTGCCGAGCTTGCTCATGGCATCGCTCAGTTTCTGCGTCATGGGATCTAGCGCTCGTCAGCATGAAAAGTAGCCTGTGAGTGTTGTCAAGCTCACCTTTCTCTCCAAAGTTGGCAGGGGACAGAACGCCCGACATGGGCACGTTCTTGGACATCTGCTGCAAGACTTGGATGAAGAAGCGAATCTGCACCTGTGTCGTCTGCTGGAGGAGAGCGTAGAGGGCTGCAGTTCTCTCGGCCTCACTAAGGACGCGGAACCACTGCTCAATAGCGCTCAGCTCGTCTTTGAAGTCCTGGTCAAGAGTGGCTGTCGCCATCTCTTCGAGTGTGTTCTCATATTGATCGATGTCGGCGAGCCACTGCTGAGCAGCGCGCTCCATCTCATCCGGGTTGCCCGACTGCGTGTTGTTGCGCCCGAAGTAGATTTCAGACGCGGGACGAATGCCACGGTTGGCAAGCGGGGAGGGGAAGCCACCTAGATCAGCTGAGGCACGGAGGTGGTGGTTGGCGCCGAGGGAGGTTCGGGCTTGCGGGGGACGGAGCGAGCTGGAACCCTCGGGGGTGCTGTTCCTGTTGGCGGCGATGTGGCTGGCAGACATGGCGGCGGTGAAAGTGGTCGACGGCGGGTTCAAGTGTAGAGGGTGAAATTCTGGCAACTTGTCAGTACGGCCGGCCCAAGTGCTCGCAGACCGGATGCTAGCACACGTACAGTGTAGACTGGGCGGGAGCACGAAGGAAGGTATTGATGCTTGCACACGAGTCTTCTCCTGCAGTCCCAGCTGCCTCAAGTCAGTATAACGTCGGACGCTCGTGGGAGCGCGAACTTGCCTGTGCCTCAAAGGAGAGCTCGATGAGTTTCGCGGGAGGCTGACACTTGTGCAGGGATGCGGTCTGCTGCGATGCACAGGCAGGCCGGGCAATAAGAAGAGACAGCGTAATATATCAAGGTACAAAGAAGGGAAGCTCAGCGACAGGAGGTCGAGTGTGAAGACGGCCAGAGGAGTGTTCGCTGCCAGGAGTCCGTCGAAAAGCCCGCGGCGTTGGGTTAGCGCGCCCAATCACGGAACCCTGCGCAAGGCTGAAGCAACGGCTCGCCAGATCTAGCCTGGTCCTCAGCTGTTACAGATAGTCGCGGCATACGTGACTACAAGCCTTCTGTTTGGATGGCTTGCATGGCTATCTCCGATTGTGTCAAGGGCGGTCACGGCTGCAGCTGCCTGTGAATCCCTCGCCTCTCCCCATGGTACACCTCCACACGCCCGCCCACCAGTTGACCGACTGTGGCACTGTGGCCGTTTCGAGTCGAGCAAACGCGTCGACAGCGTGCTAGCCACACGATAGCATAGACGGCCAGAAGCGCACCGTTTCTGTAACAGCTTCTGCGGTGCCGTGCTTCTTATTGGCGAGCCGCGCCGTCAAACGCTCCGAGAAACAAAAGGAATTCTTCCCGAGACGTGTTCATGCACTGCCCGCTGCTAACACTAGTCGTTCGGGTCCACGGATACAAAAGTTGTGCCTCTCCAGGTCGTGTTCTATCATTGCAGGAGCGTCTGAGACGACCCACTGTTGCCTGATCCGACATCTGATGCCCGCAGGTGCATGCGCTAACCTCAAATGGTTAGCTACGTGTCGTCAAACGTGCATTGATAGCGCTCCAACGCTCCGCGAACAGGTGAATGTGAATGTAAGAACGATCCATTCTGAAGTGAATGAGGGTGAGTGACAAACATGGCGGCGATTGGTTGCGTGAAGATGAGGCGCGACTAACTATAGACAACGTGGTCGACATCGATCTGTTTAATCTGCAGTTCATACGGCTCTAGCAAATCCTCGCCAACTATAGGTTCTTTGGAATAATGAGTGATACACAAAGTCAAGTTCCTCTACCCCCTTGTAGGCTACAGGCATGTCGCTATCAATAATGATAAGCAGCTTTTGTTTCCGCGAATTACCAGTATCTGAAAAAGCTAAGAAGGCTACAGTGCCTGAACAACCTACAAACTGAACATCTTCAGGCAATGTCGACTTCGGGGCACCTGTCTGGTTGTCTCTTGAATGGGGTGATCGATATGTCGGAAAATAGCGATGAGGTGGATGAAGATAGTCCTTGAGAAGTGTTGTAAGGTTAGAGTTTCAAAGTGTTGGAATGCTGGGCTGGGCTGCGGCTGGCTACTCTCGCTCTTGCCACTAGTAGCGAGGTCTAGCCACGCACAGGGAAGTTCCTTCGTATACCTTCTAGTCAAGATTGTCCAGACGTTCTGGTATTGGATGCCATCCTCCTTAAATTACTGAGTGTAAGAATAGGCGGCAGCGTGGCCGACAATAGTGCCACACGCCAGTCACCACGGAGCAGAAGAGAGCCTCACTGTAGAAGAATTTTGGACGTAGATGAAAGTGTTTCTCGGTGGAACTGGGTATCTTGTTGTTTTACATCTGCCGTGCTCAAAGTTTCATGATGATGCCGCTGCTTGCTGTGATTGCTGTGCTGCCGACTGGATTTGTATAATCTGATTTGGGAATTAGCAATCCGCGTAACGAGACACGTTCGAAAAACATACCTCGCCCTTGATCTTCTCACTCTTGTCTTGTATACCCTGTATCTGTTTCTCGATATCCTTGCTGCATCCAGTCAGAAGAGACTTGTCACGCCAACTGACCCACTCACATCTGTTTGTCGATGAACTCGAGGCGACCGTTGACCGACATGACTGCCTCCGTCTTGTCCTGCTTCAGCAGTACTGGACCAATTTGTTTATAGATGTTTGCATCGTCGTCGAGGATGTCAAATTCCTGGAATGACCACTTTCAGTATGTGATCCGAGACCAATCGCAATCTCCGCATACCTTTTTGACGGTACTGTTCTCCTGTTGTTGCGATTCGAGCTTCTGGCGAGCCTCTACTGCAGTTCCGAGCTCTGTTCCGAGATTAGCTAGGGATTGGCCATCTTTGGGCGCGGCTTACCAGCCTGGAGGCCTTGATAGCTGTCAGACAGCGCCTGCAGCTTCTTTTGCACGTCTGCCATGGCTTTGGTGATGCTGAGTGACGCGTGCTGCAAAGTTTGGTGCAGTCTCGTTCGGAAGTCGCGAGTGGGATGCTGAACTCCCTCAATCCGGTTAGAAGCAACGCGGGGCTAGGTGCCTTGGCCGTACCTGGAGCGACGGGCACCTCTCGTGTACGACCGCAAAGCCCGTTCACGCGAAACAATCTCGAGCGCACCCTCGTCTGAACATCGTCGATCCAAGCTGCGAATCCTTCCCTTGCCTCACATAGTCGCCCTGGCCCCGCGAACCACAGGCAGCCTGCACGCGATTGCCCCACTCAGATCGCCCTCCGCCGCCCATACATCGATCAACCAACACACCAGCCGACGCGCGCTCCGGGAATCACGCTCGCTGAAGCCTCCACCGACCTCCGGCCTTCACAATGAGCAACGCCGACTTCCTCGGCCGGGCCATCGAGACGGTCAAAAAGGCAATTGAGACGGACACGGCGGGCGAATATGAGAAGGCGTATCAGCTGTACTACAGTGCTCGTCAGTACCACAAGATATAGACCATGTAAATTTGGATGCTAACTTCATGCGCAGTCGAACTGTTCATGCTCGCTCTCAAATGTACGTTGGCCGGATTTTGTAGATTGGCAAACATGCTGACGCTCAGTAGGGGAGAAGAACCAGAAGTCCAAGGATATGATCCGCGGCAAGGTAGCCGAATACATGGAGCGCGCCGAGAAGCTCAAACAACACCTGAACCAAAATGACGCCTCGAATCGCAAGAAGCCAGCAGCTATGGGCTCAAACGGCAAAGCAGCAGGTGGAAGTGGAAAGGGCGGAGGGTACATATCAAGTCTACGCCTGCCGAGAGTTCGCAACTAACCTCTAACAGCGACGAGGACGAAGGCGAACAAGACGCCGACTCGAAAAAGCTCCGCGGTGCGCTCGCTGGCGCCATCCTATCCGAGAAGCCCAACATTCGATGGGAAGACGTAGCAGGTCTGGAGATGGCAAAAGAAGCACTCAAGGAGGCCGTTATATTACCCATCAAGTTTCCTCACTTGTTTACGGGAAAGCGACAACCATGGAAGGGTATTCTTCTCTACGGGCCACCTGGTACCGGTAAGAGTTACCTGGCAAAGGCGGTCGCTACCGAGGCGAATAGCACATTCTTCAGTGTCTCCAGTTCCGATTTGGTCAGCAAGTGGATGGGCGAGTCAGAACGGTAGGTGAAACAGTCCACTTCGGCGCGACGCGGCAACTGACATGATGTTAGACTCGTAAAACAGCTCTTCGGCATGGCTCGCGAAAACAAACCCTCGATTATCTTCATCGACGAGATCGACGCGCTCTGCGGACCTCGAGGTGAGGGCGAGTCGGAAGCATCACGACGTATCAAGACAGAACTGCTAGTGCAGATGGACGGTGTCGGTAAAGATTCGAAGGGCGTACTCATTCTTGGTGCGACGAACATCCCATGGCAACTCGACTCTGCCATCCGACGACGATTCCAGCGGAGAGTCCACATTAGTCTGCCAGATCAGCCCTCCAGGATGAGGATGTTCGAGCTTGCGGTTGGCAACACACCTTGCGAGCTGAGCCAGGCCGACTACAAGAAGCTAGCCGAGCTTAGTGAGGGATACTCTGGGTCTGATATTTCGATTGCGGTACAAGACGCGCTCATGCAGCCCGTGCGACTTATTCAGACAGCAACACACTACAAGCCCGTGGAGGTAGACGGCCAAACAAAGTGGACGCCGTGCTCACCTGGTGATCCACAAGCAGAGGAGAAGTCATGGACAGACCTAGACGGCGATCAGTTGCTCGAGCCACCTCTAAAGGTCAAGGACTTCGTCAAGGCGATCAAGGCTTCAAGACCGACTGTGAGTAGAGAGGATTTGGACCGCAGCGCCGAGTGGACAAAGGAGTTTGGTAGTGAGGGCGCGTAGACGAACCGTTTGTTGTCGTTTGAGGCGGTGCTGTATATCTTCGAGGCGCTTTTGGTGTTTATATCCCCTTCTAGCATAGCGAATCCAGGCCGTACATGGACCGGCCGGCGTTGATGCTTCGAATACATAAGCAATTTGAGGCTTTTTCGTTCCATGATGCTACAAAGGCGATACTGCATATACATTCATATCTCGCTTTGAGATTCTCAGGATTGAGGTAAAGATGTCATTGCGACTCGTGGCGCTTGCAGAGTGAAGGTTCTTGAATAATGGTGGCTCATTTCTCTACACTAAACTGGTCCAGCGTAGTCCATTCCATGGCACGATCGAAGTGGGTGAGGGGACGAAGGGGAAACTTGGGGGGAATATGTGTAAAACCGGACCGGACCTGACCTAACCGCCTAACCTAACCTGTCCTAACCAAAACAAGCACTCCGGCGTGATAAAGATGCTTCTCTATACTTCGCCAGCCTTGTTACCAATGACGAGGCCCAGAGACCCTCACGTCATGCTCTTTCATCGTGTCTTCGTGCTGATGTCATGTCACAATTCCGAATCGAACGCCGCTCATGCATCGTGTCCCATGTGGATTTCCTTCCACAAGTCCATAAAGTTGACCATTTACGAACGGCCTAGTCAGCCTCTAGCTGAAGTAGGCTTGCGCAGTACGCTGCTGCTCTGGTGTCAAAGTCGCGGCAGCCTGGCCAAGATCGGTGCTGGTCGCCTGGATCAGAGCCTTCACGGATGCGACAACGCGGTTCGCGGTCTGTCCTTGCAAAGTTTCGGCCTCCAGGGCTTGCACAACGTAGTTGAAGACCTTTGCGGGTTGAGAGAACACAGCTTGGTTTTGTCTGAAAGATGTTAGTGTGGATCTCATGCATTCGCGATGTGGCGCTAAATTAACTTACTGTTCAATCAGCTGAGCTAGGAAGGCATAGGCGTATGGTGTAGCCTCCTCGTCGTTGGTGATGGGAAGCGTATCCATCCAGGCAGCGGCGACACTGTCCCAGTTTGCGACCTTGCTCGCATTGTAGTGTAGGATCTTGGCAATTGCAGCCGAAGCATTCTCTGTCGCGAAAATGTCGTCGTCCGCGCGAGCGTTTGGTCTCTGTGTAACCTGGAAGAGCGTCTCCAGGGACGCCGCAACAAATTCGGACCAGTTCTCTCCACCCTTGTGAGCTGCAACACCAATTCCGTATACTGCTGCCTGGCGATTGGCAGGGACGTCATCTTGCATACCATCGATGAGAGGTTGGATAATCTGGTCCTTGTATTGCCACGACTCTGGACCACAGAACTCGAGCACATCGTCGTAGATGCAAATCGCCCACTGGCGTTGAGTGGGGTCTGGGTTAGCAGCGGACAAGCTATAGAATTGGGTTAGTTCAGCCCAGTAAGGCAAGAACGCTGTGCCCATGGTCTTGAAAATGCTGTGGAACGCCTTGTTCATGTCTGAGAGGAGCGTCTGGTCGTCTTCTATGGCAAACAACAGATCTTCCGAAGCTTCCTCGCCATCATCATTCTCGGCCTGCTCCTCTAGACGTTCCTTTACGCGTACGTGGTAGTCTTGAAGCACGCTTCTAGCGGACTCAATGAAGGTCGTCATGTGTGCGTTGGTGAGGCAGTTGCGGCCAATGCACTCTAGACACTCGTAGAAGCATTGGTACATCTCGGCGAGGGTATCAATGGCGGGCTCAGTGCTGAGCACTTCGAGGACACGCTCGACGGTGCGGCCCCACAGCTCGCTCAGTTGTGTAGATTCCGGACCGTGGGCCTTCTTGTACGCATTGAGCAGCGCTGGAACACACTTGGCTGATGCCACTCGCACGGGGTCGTGGAAGAAGAAAGCTAGGCCTGGGAGCGCAATCTTCTCCATGATGTCGTTGACGTAGGGCTCGAAAGCGTCCTCTAGAACTTGCGCGTAGATGACAATGAGCTCAATAGCCATGTGTTTGTCGTCAAGGATGCTGGTCTTGATTCCAATAACCTTGCCCTTGAGCGGGACCAACTCCCAGCCTTCTTCATCTTGGATCTGGGCAACTTGTTCCTCGTCGTCAAGAAGTTGGATATCAGCCTTGGCTCCAGCAAGCTCGGTCAGTGGTGGGATGACACCAGCAAGGAAAGGAACAAACTCCCGTCCTAGAACACGGCACATGCGGCCCCAGCAGTGGAGGAGATAGGATGCTTGCGGGTCATCGGCCTCGGAAACGCTGTTCTGGATCCGTCCGAGCAGCTGTACAAGGTTGAGTGCGTCTTGGCCCATCCGGTCCTTGCCGACAGCGAGAGCGATAAGCGTCGCGCACTCCATGGCCTTGGCACGGAGAAGTCGGTATTCTTTGGATTGCTCCTCTTGTAGGACATTGAAGAGAAGAGGCATAAGCGTGTCGTAATACTTGGAGAAGGCAGCCTCTGCGGAGTCCGCAACGGTGGCAATAGTAGACAGGGCCTGTTCCTGTACGAAACGCTTGGGGCTCTGCAGAAGCATGAGCAAGTGGTTAAGCAGCTGGTCCAGGTATGGCTCCAGGATGTTCTTCTCAGCCTCCTCGCAGAAGTTGACTAGAGCAGCAGCAGCGTGCGCCTGCACGCGAGGCTCCGAAGACTCCAAGACGGGGATGATGTTGGGGAGAACGACCTGGTGGTACGTCTCTTGCATGGTACCGGCAAAGTCAGTCGACATCTGTCCGACAGCATTGCAAGCGGCCCATCGCACTCGTGGATGGGGGTCTCGGAGCGCAGGCAAGACGAGGTCCAGGACTTTGTCAAGCTCGCCAACCATCAGCTCGCGACAACCCTCGGAGATGGCTGATATCGCCATGAGAGCAGCGTGCCTGTCGCGCCACGCCGAAGAAGTCATCATGCGCGGAAGCCAGTTGAACGTTGGGGGCAGAATGGCTTGTCCACCGAGCTTGTTTGCCAGGCGATCCATACACTGCTCACCAGCCACATGGTTCGAGTCGCTTTCTTCATCCAAGTCTTCTGACACGTTCCACTCCTCGGCATCGTCATCGTCAGCTCCAACGTCGGTCATCAAAGACAGACATTGAGTAACCATATCATTGGTGAAGTTGGCATCCTTCTTGC